AGGGCCGGTGTAGGTACAGAAGAGGGATTGTTCCACGTAACCTACAAAGAGGCAGGCGTAGCTTGGGCCCATGCGGGTACCCATGGCCACCCCCTTTGTCTGTAGGAAGTGGGAGAAATTGAAAGAGAAGTTGTTGAGGGTGAAGACGAGTTCGGCTAAGCGGATGAGGGTGTCAGTGGAGGGGGACTGGTCGGGCCTGCGGGACAGGAAGAAGCGGAGGGCCTTTAGGCCATCTGCATGGGGAATGTAGGTGTAGAGGGACTGGACGTCCATGGTAAAGGTGAGGTGTTGGGGACCGGTGAATTGGAAGTTCTGGAGGAGGTGGAGGGCGTGGGTGGTGTCACGGACATAGGTCGGGAGTTCCTGGACCAAGGGGGAGAAAATGGAGTCCGGATAGTTGGAGATCAGTTTGGTGGGGCAGGAGCAGGCGGAGACAATGGGTCGATCAGGACATTCAGGTTTGTGGATTTTGGGAAGGAGATAGAAGCGGGCAGTGCGAGGTTGGGGAACGATGAGATTGGAGGCCGTGGGTGGGAGGTCACCTGAGGTGATGAGGTTGTGGATGGTTTGGGAGATGATGGTTTGGTGGTCGGGGGTGGGGTCATGATCAAGGGGGCGGGAGGAGGTGGTGTCGGAGAGTTGGCGTCTGGCCTCGGCGATGTAGATGTCAGTGCGCCATACTACAACTGCGCCTCCCTTGTCCGTGGGTTTTTTGGTGAGGTTGGGATTGGAGCGGAGGGCTGCACGTTCTGCGGGGGAGAGGTTGGAGTGGGTGAGAGGGGTGGAGAGGTTGAGGCGATTGATGTCTCGACGGCAGTTGGAGATGAAGAGGTCGAGGGATGGTAGGAGGCCTTGGGGTGGTGTCCAGGAGGAGGGGTGTGTTGGAAGCGGGAGAAGGGGTCAGTAGAGGGAGGGTTAGGTTCACGGTTGAAGAAGTAAGCGTGGAGGCGGAGGCGGCGGAAAAACTGCTCTATGTCCAAGCGTGAGCGGTATTTGTTGATCTGTAGGTGGAGGGGGACAAAGGTGAGCCTTTTACTGAGGACTGACTGTTCGTCCTCAGTAAGGGGGAGGTCTGGAGGGATGGTGAAGTCTCAGCAGGGCTGGGTGCTATTGTCCCCTCTGGAGCTGCTGGCTGTGGAGGCTGTGGGTGGAGCGACGTCGGCGTCGGCGGTGGGTGGAGCAGGGTAGGCGGCGGCAGTAGCGGTGACGGTAGTCGCGACTTCAGTGTCGGTGGCAACGGCAGCGATGGTGTTCGCTGTCCCGGAAGTGGGGAACCCGGCGGTGGCGGATGTGACATCATCTGTGGGTTCCCCGATAGTGGCCTCTACATCGTGGAAACCAAGCGGAGGCTCGGGGACCGCTTTGCAGAACACCTACGCTCGGTTCGCAATAAACAACTGCACCTCCCAGTCGCGAACCATTTCAACTCCCCCTCCCATTCCTCAGACGACATGTCCATCCTGGGCCTCCTGCAGTGCCACAACGATGCCACCCGAAGGTTGCAGGAACAGCAACTCATATTCCGCTTGGGAACCCTGCAGCTCAATGGTATCAATGTGGATTTCACAAGCTTCAAAATCTCCCCT